GGAAAGAGAATTCATAAAAGCTAATTACTTAACAATGGTGTAAGACTTTTAAACAATAGAGAAAAGAGAAAGTGTTTTGAACTGTTTTCAGTTCTGCATGCTATAGAGATAATGGTAGGTTCAAACATTACACAAATCATTTGCTTTCCAAATTATTTTTTATTATTAATGAATTTAAATGCCAAACTCTTGTTAGAAAAAGTTAGACTGTAATTAAAGAATTGACTTTGCTTTGTACAAAACCTTAAGAAGAAAAGAGTTGGCAGTTTTCATTTTAGTTGGCAGGAAACCTGACGCAGGAATGATTGGGAAATTCTACACCTGAGATACTATGTATGCAGTTTCAAATTAAACATCCTGAGGTTATGAGGTTAAAGAGATTGAGAAGAAACCCAGGAACAAAGCCACTTGGCAAAGTTATTAGCTAATCCCTGAACTGGGTATGGAGTCAGAAGAAAATCTCCTATTTCTACCCTGACACTGAATTGAATCTATTAACCTACAAAGAAAATGTTAGCCTGGAAGGGAAGAAAGAGAGGCAGTTGTCTTATCCTCAAGCTTGAATTTCTCTTAGAGTTGAATAAGTGGAGGAAAGAACAGAAGCAGACATTTGCTTTGTCTACCATAAACGAAGTAAGCCAAGTGTAAGAGGTATCAACAAAAAAATCTAAAGCTGTACCTCCTAAGACTCCACATACTTTGCTTTGTCAACGAGCAAACTCTAATAGCAGTACTGGGACCTAGCAGAGAGAGTACATAACAATGCAAGAAAGGAGTTACAAGCTTGAATTTTTGAGAGGCTAAAAATTTACGCTGGATATTGCAAGCATATGTGTGGGTGTTGGGTATAAACCCATATACATATACATGGATCAGCCCATATACCGAGTTTAGCAGTGAGGAAATGCCATCATGAAAAATATCCACAGGGAGCAGTAGTAGGGGTCAGTGATCAATGTCTTTGGTTTCCAGTGATCTGTATAAAAGGGATGAAACTCTGAAGTCTTGGGGGACACAATTTTAAATGCACAACATTTATTCTCGTTTCTTTTTAATGATATTTACTGTACCTGTAATGAAACGGCAAATCCTAGAAAGAAGTCTTTACTTCTCATCATCTATAGTACCGAATACTGTACATTACAGCTGGTTTATGCAATTTGATTCTAGAAAGATGATCTCGTAGTTAAAGCAGATTAAAAACAAGAATAACCAAAAGCTTGAAAGGAGTTTCCAAATGACAGAGAATTCAATTATGTGTTTAAATCCTATTTCCACTCAAGCATGTTTCAGTGCTTACTCTACCAATAAATTTCCACCAGCCTAGGTGGCGCCAAGAACACTTGCCTCAAAACTTGTATTATTTTATTATTTAACCCTAACACCACTGTTATGTTTAAAGGACAGTTTGCGTTAATTTGCATTCACACTCTTATCGTCAAGCAAATGAAGAATAATTTAACTTCTTCAAAATATATTACATTGCTTTAAATTTGAAATGTTACCACCAAGGTCAGCGGAAATGACCCTGTAGCCTCATTTACACTGCCAGAAGCAAACACGGGATAAAGCCACTTACCTCTAAGGTGAATGACAGCACCACGTCGGACTTTGACAGCTGAATCTCATTCTCATCTCCTATGTCCAAAAAGGCAGAATTCTGTGAACGTTTTAATTTTTGTAATTTAAATTCTGGACCACCTTTCGAAACTGGAAGACTCTCCAAATTGGCCATTAGCAAATTCACTGAAGACCGCAACTCTTCTATATACATATTCTCCATCTCTTTTGCTATAAATCTGGGGAATTTTCTTTCCTTGAAAATAATTTTTAAAATAATAATGTTACAGAAGTCATATTTCAATTTTATCGTAAAAGATTATATGATGGATATACACTTGACTGTCTTAGAAATTGTGATGCTCAATATCATGCATTTACCTGATACTTTAGTCTCTAGGCTTTAAAAGCCTCAGGCTTTGGCAATTTTGATTATATTTAACTGTACCTTATCTACCTTATGGAGGATCATTATCATAAAAAATGAATAACATGATATACGTTTTCAGATTAACTTTATTTTTGATATGGTATTTATTTAAGGGAAAAACCAACTCTAAAAAACATACATGTAAAAAGTTTTAGTGTATAGATGAACCGTAATTAGCCACTGATACCTTTGAAATACTTGGAACAACTGGTCTATAAGAAGAATGTTCAGTATATGCTGCTCTGTTAAGAAACAAACATTTTAACAGTATCTCTCTTTCATACCACTGATGTGTTAGGCATTCAAATTGAAAAACCTTTACTATTAAAAAGAAATATGGCCATACTTCTAAAATTAGTTAACTTTCATGTCATACAAATGTATCAAGATCCCTTATTGCCATACATTCAGTTTTTTAGTAAAGGTTTAGAAAAAATTAAGTTTAAAGCCTAATGTAAATTTATGATAAAAGCTGTACATGAAAAAGTAATAATATCAAATTAGGAGATTCAATTTTCTTCCCAAATTACAAGAGTGTTGCCATTCAGTCCTCAGATCTCTGCAATCAGACTTCTGTTTCTTTCACTCAGTTAAAAGGACATTCCAAGTACTGATACTTAAATAGATATTAATAGCTATTGCCAAATTGCCCTTAGAGAAGGTTATACCCATTTACATTCCCACAAATAGCAAGTGAGGTTTCCTCATACTCTTGGCTCTTTCTTTAACCTCTGACAGCCTGGCACTTAGGTCTTCTCTCTGAAAGGTAGAGGGTATACAGCTTTATGATGGGAAATGCGATGTAATGTAATGACAGCAGTATAAAACTGGCTGGGGGATGACAGCCTCAAGCTGCCATCATTCAAATGAATGACTGCTTAATGTTCCAGAAAAATCAATGCCCTTACTACTGTTTCCTTTGGCATCATTCAAACTGTTACCTAAGAAATCCCCATCTCCAGGGTGAATGGAATACATCCACAATGCATTCATCAACCTGCCCTTGGTCTGACTCACTTGCACCAGTTTGTTCATGGGCTGGAAAGGAACATCTGGCACCACCTCATGAATCAGTCCCAGAGTCCTGGACCACCTGTTTTTCTTTTCCCCCAATATAACCTTGACATATTTCTTTTAAAATAATTTACATATAATCAATGTTAAAATTGCGTATTTATATCACAGAGAGATTAAATATCTACATCCGTAATTAACTTTCCCAAGGAAGATTCTTAAGTATCCTTTTAATATTCCTCTATAGCTTGAAGCAACATTCCCATACAGTAAGTTTGCATCCTCAGGAAAAACACATAACTACTCAGTTACATAATAACTTGGTTTCCTTTGGGGATGCAGGGAATAATGTTTTGGATAGTTTTTCAATACATGCAAAAGAGGAACAAGATAAAATAAAGCATAAAAACATTTTTACATTTGTGGACTAATTTTAAAAGCTGTCATAAAAAGCATCCAAAACTCAGATATAAGGCAAAAAAGGTGAGGGAACAGGTCCTTCCAACGTCATATGTGAGCAAAGACCATCCAAGGACCATGTGGGGGAAATGTACCTAGTTCAATTTACTGTTTACACTGATTAAAGATCCTGTTTACAAGTGAAGTCACACGTTACTTTGTAGAATTTTGTCTGGTAAAGATATAAATAATGTGTGTCTGGTGACTAAGATAATCCAATGGTTATAGTTTAAATCCCTGTTGGAAATTAACCACTGGTTTTTTTTTTTTAACCACTTTTATATCTAATACTTGAATCTTATTTTAACTTTGCCTAAAAACACCTACTTTTCAAATGCCCTTCAGACTAGTTTTAACATCTAACTAGTGTGCTCATTAATTATACAGAGTGCAATCATTATTGTTTGTTCATTTTATATTCATGTAACAGTCACAGTTTTGCCTTTTAGAAACATTTTAGCAAAGCAAAAGGCAAATATATCACATGTTTGAAAGTACCAGTTATTTTCTCCAAATTTTTAAGGTGTTTTTTAATGGAAAACTTAGCATTAGCACATGAAAAAAAAATCTATTCTTACTTAGCTTTCACTAAAAACACTTCAGTCATTATCATTTTTCAAGGAGGAGACTGGCAGGAATCACCCAAATTGACTGTTTCATCAGCATGTTCAAACTTTTCAGGAAATAGACTATACTAGATTTTCTTTTTCTCTCTGGGGAAAAAACCCCCAACAACTCTCTTTTAAAGCTTTGAGGTTTGTCGATAATATTTCATAAATTTTATTTAGCCTGCTTATGTTGCCTCTTTCTTGGAAACAAAACCAACTGTACAACTAATGTACATATTAAATTTGATCTTTTAAATTAGAACAGCATCAGAAATAGGGTTATTCTGTAGTTTACCTGTGAGCTGTTCCTATAAACCACAGATTCAACATTCTAATTTAGTCCTCTGTACAGCTGAGCCCATTAGCAGCCCTAACACACTATATACATTTAAAAAAATTTGCTCCATAAAATTTCCATTATTCAAATTTAGTCGCTGTAAGAGTTCTTAACTTTCCAGTAGATGAAGCATGGACCAGAGTGGTAGGATGCACGTGGTGACAACTGTCAGATCGTGGAAATACTCTGAAGATAGATAGAAATGGATTTCCTGATAAATTTGGCACGAGGAAAAAAGGAGTCAAAGATGATTCCAAGTTACTGACCCTGATGTACTAGAAAGATAGTACTGCCAAGAACTGGCCTACCCTGACCACCTGACTGGAAATTTTCAACACTCTCCTTCCCTCCCACATTCCTGATTCCACCTTCTCTGCTTTTTTTCTAAGTAGCAAATGATCACCTTCCATAATTCAGTTACATGGCAAGTTTACTGCTTACTGTAAGTCTCTCCCAAATAAAATGTAAGCTCCCTGAGGGCATGGCAGGAATATTTTTGTCTGGTTTTATCCTAAGAGAACTACATTTGTCTGGATGTATCCCAAGTGCCTAAAATAGTGCCTGGTTATCTTAATAGGTGTTCAAGAAATACTTATTCATTGAATTTATGAATAGCAAAATTCAGGCTCCAAAAGGTTAAATAAGTTGCTTATATCGAGACCTGGCCCACAGGTCTTTCTGGCCCAGTCCACCCACATTTTTTTCTACTATTACTTCCTAATTATGCCTTGGCTAAAATATTAAAGTCAATATTTACATCCCTTGAAACAGACTTCTGCCCCGCGGTTTCAGTGTTATTATACTGCGTTGTGAAGCATGACAGGTGTTACTAATAGTTGACTGCAAACTATAAACTATGAATAAACCACACTTCTGGATTTATGAGATTGAAGAGGTATCAGGGCCTAAGAGAGCAAACCTAAGCTCTGGAGTCCAAAGACCAGCGTCTGAGGTCTTTTGATTTGTTAAGTAATCTTCCCTAAACCTCAGTCTCCTTGTTTATAAAATAAATTCATTATATCATCTGCCCTTGTGGATTCACAAGATTACTGTAGAGATCCAAGACAACAAGGTCAGTAAGTTATAATTAGCCTTATATTTTATGAAGGTGGCTTAAATTTGGTGAAACTGAAGTAGAAGGCAATTAAACATGATCTATCTGCTATGTCAATATATTTACCGAAAGGCATTATATTTGGGGGTGTTTTTTTGCTGTTATTGTTGTTCCAAACCCATCAGCTTCAATTCCTTCCTTCTCCACGCTTTTTCTTTTTTTTTTTTCACACACACACACACACACACACACACACACACACACTGTATTTTATTTTTACTGACACCAAGCATTGTAAATGGATGACCACAACAAAAGCAACAATGATTGCAATTATCAAGCACGAAACACACTCATACTATGTCATAATATTGACATTCAGTCCAGGAATCCTCCACTGTAACAGCTCCTTTACTTTGCAGTGAAAATTGATTTGTATATTTTTTGCCTCTGAGTCCTTGTGGGATTTTTTTTTTTTAATTCAAACAGAAAGTCACAAAAATTATAATCACCCTCATCAGTTCACTCAGTCCCATGTAATTAATTTTTTTTCATCTTGATCTTTTGTTAGCACTTTTATGAGTTCATCAGTTTTCCATTAGAGTTCTGAAAATGCTTATTCATCCAGTTCAGCAGTATAGTCAGTTCCCAGACACCTGTCTCCATGCTTTTTCTACTTTATCAGCACTTGTGATGAAATCATCAAGGTCCCCGCAAAGAGAAGCTGCTGTATGTGCATCACTGACCCTGCTCCTCTCACTCAGTCCAGAGGTTACACACACACACACCACACATCCTCCTGCACAGACATGAGCTCGGGGACACACCCAAGGCTTTCTATCCTGTTCTGTAACCCTCTAGAAATTCATCTAAACTATCACATATTCAGCCAGGCCCTTGAAGGAGTTCAACTTATGACAGTGTGTACAGCTCAGGTACAATCTAAATACAAGTAGGCAACTGAGAAATGCTGATCACAGGTCCAGAGTCCTGCCCACAGTGTCGGGCACATCTCTCTGGATTCTCTCTTAGCCTCAGGGCTTCAAGAAAAGCAGTGCCCTTCCAGACACAGACAGCTTCCAACTCAGGTTAGGATTCTGGGGAATGCATTTCTCTCTCTAAAGCTTCCAAAAGCCTCAAGCTAATACTTGATTCCTAGCCTATGAATTCCACATCTGAATCTCTAGAATGATGTAGTACCTCTCCAGAGGGTGGTAACAAGGTGTGTTGTCTTTTCACCCTCTGCCCTTGGCTTGGTTCTCACAACTTATGGTCATCTCTGTTACCCAATTTCTCTCAATTTTCTATGCATTTCTATTTCTCAACAACTTGGCTACTTTTAAATTTAATACACAGATAAACACAGTACTAGTCTTAAAACTTACATATTCATAAATACATTTTTCTTTGAAAAACACAAAACTTCAATAGTCAAATGCAGTATGGGATATATCTCCTTAAAGTGCTGGAAAAGTTCACTATCTTGATTTGGGAGGTGGCTAATACAGGGCGTATACACATTCATCAAGCTGTAAACGTAAGATCTGTGCACTTTGCTATATACATGTTATGCCTAAAGTTTTTAAAATGAAGAAAAATCCCCAACAGAGAGGATTCTTCAGAGAGACTGGGACAGAGACAGACACAGAGGGAGGGAGGGAGGGAGAGTCTATCAAATACTCAAATTTTTCATTTAGCAAAAGGAAAAAAATATTATTCTCAGATCAACAGCATTATAACCTCAAGTCTATTTTAAGAGACTAAAATTTTATTTTTACCACTGAAGTAAATTAATGTATCAATATACTAGAGAATGATTTAGACAAAGAGCCCTCAGAATTAAAAAGAAACTCATGGCTTTTGTTTGAAATCTATTTCTGTTCACACAATGATTGTATAAATAAAAGTAAACAAAATGTTGTATTCAATAGGCCCTATGAGACTCTGTACTAGAAACTTCAAATTATATTTTTCATCCATTCAAATATTAGTTGACACCACTGTGTGCCAAGCACTGTGCTAGATACTTCGGAATATATTGTATGATTCTGCAGGCAGGATGGTTTCCTCTCTGATTATATTATGCTTAGTGCAGTATTAAAATTCTTCTAAGTCTGGCAGTTTGAGAAATTCAGGCATTGCTTTAAGAATAATCTACAAAAGTTATCACTGATTTTAAACATCTTATATATGGATGGATATGTAAAATAGATAATGTGCTCCATTTTAGATAATATGCATTCAGGTACCTGGGCTTAAGAGGTATGCATGGAGATGAGAAAATAAAATTATTCTGGCTTTATCTATACAAAACTCTTTCAGCTCACAGAAATCTAAGTACAGAAAGAAATGTGGTACAGTATATCAAAGTTAACAATTTACCTTTGCCATTTTCTCTGCCAACTGCAAACGACCATCAAGTTCCCTTCTGATCTGGGCTGCTTGTTCATCTGCATTATCCAACTTAAAAATAAAACAGAAATCACACATACATGATTAGTTAATGGCAGTGACCTACAGATTAAAGCAAAGCCAAAATGACTCCGAAAAAACTTTATAAATTCTCTCAACTACCTACTGAGAACACAGAAAGTTGTCTAATTAGATTGATAGTCTAATTAAATTTCTTGGGCACTTTTCACTGTGGTTTGCTCACAAAAAAGGTAATAAATCTCTAAGGTTAATAGCTCAGCTTACAAAAAAATCTAATCATAATAATTATTTGCCCAACCTGTCCACAACAGAGCTAAACCAAGAAGTCTTTGTTTCCTTGAGGATGCATTAAGTTGTCATTAAGTTTATTCAGGCCATCCTTCTGCCTTCATTAAGGTCAGTCCTAAATAGTTCAAAATAGATAAATCTCTTGTTTTGTTCTTTCAAATTCCCAGAATGCATTTCTGGATAGTGAGATACTGAGTAATGTTTCACTTTTTTCCTTGATCTTTCAAAAAATATTTCCTTCATTTTTATAATGTTTTTATTTGTGCTAAACTATCAAGGCACTATTTGATTGATTGCTATAACTTTCTACCATTTAGGTCTTCATATGCTCCTCATTCTAGTACCAACAGGCTCATACTGCCAAGAAATCCTTTCACAGACTGGCACCATGTTAGAATTTCATTCTCTTGTTCTAAATTTGATTGAAAGCTCAGCATGCTATCCTCATTTTTAAAGATATTTCCATCTACATGGAATATTACTTTAACTTCTCCACTGACATAATCCTTAACTTTTTCTATAACCTCTTAACTTTTCCTCATGATTTCTTCTATCTCCCTGTCTTAGTTCATTAAGACCTCTTAAATCGAGGCAATCCTATGGGCCATGCACAGTGCGGGCTGCACTGGGTGGGTTACAGATGTGAACAAGGCCAATGTTTCTCTTTAATTCCTTCCCCTCTCCCACTTCCCTCATTAAGAAGCCTAGACCACACAATACAACCATACTTCAGTAAAAGTCCACCTAAAAATTGGATTAGTACTGAGTATAACATTAAACACCCAGGAGAATACAGATTAACTTGTCCATTTGCTGAAGAACTACAAATTTACCATGTTACATAAAAAAAAAAAATAGCCTTAATAAGAAAAATTCTGAAAAAGATGAGTAGGGGCAAAGCAGGTCAGTAGGATGGTGGTGTCAGAATGTATACGAAGGGTCAAGAAGAGTACATGCTCCAGTAGGAGGGCACCAAATGTCCGTGGAAGTGAGAGCAGACAGTGGTTTGGGGAATGGAATGGGGTGGGGAGGGAAGGTTCATGAGAGATTGGGCTGGAGAGAGAGGTGGGACTACCTTATAAGCCTACTCTTCACAGGCGAATTAGGGAGTTTGGAATTGGTTCCTATAGCACCGGGATTTCACCGAGAGGTTTTAAGCAGGACTTCGGAGAGGTTGTGTCTGTCTCCATCACAAACAGGTTAAGAGGGACATAAGGAAGTCTACCTGTCCCTCTATATCAATCCGTCTATCTGTTTGTTTAACAGATCTAAGGTCACCTTTCCAAAAAATATGTTCCCAAGTTTATTTTAAAAAATCAAGTTTATTTAAAAGCAAGTTTTTAAATACGCAAGATTTTCTTAAACTAAATCCTTGTTGTAAAGGAGTTGCTATGTCATCTCAAAAAAAATACACTTTTTATTTTAATTGATTCATATTCAAAATCAAACAGAAACAAGTCTCTCTCTTCACTGTGTCTGAAGTCAAAATGACTTACATTAAAAACTAACAAAATTATTTAGGAAAAAAATAGGTGATAAATGCCTATTCCAGGTGACTGAAATCAAGGTCCTAAAAACAAAAATTATGTGTAGGAACACTAACTGCAATACCTCAAATACAGTAAACGTAATATGGGATATCTCATTTTGCTTAAATGCTGATAAATATTTTTCCACAAAAAAAAAAATAAAATGGTTACTTGCAGTGAAGTGTTACAGTTCCACCAAGAAATAGCATTTAACATCTTAAAACCTTAAAAATTCTCCTTCATATTTCACCATAAAATATTATTTAACATCTTTAATTATTTGTATCTTCATATTAACAGTTCTTATTTAACTTTAAATGGAATTGTTTGAGTCACTTCTGCAGTCTACAAGTGTTTTCTTTCTCAGAGTTTTCTACTACTTTTAAAAATTATTAATGCCTTAACTGCATTTGTCTGAAAAAATACAAAGGAAAGCAGAGCATTACTGTATTAAACTGTCCGTTAATAGCAATCAGAGACTGAAATGTGACTGATGACTACAGTGTCATTTTTGTGAAACTAGAAAAGCATACTCCCAAACATGTTTACAAAAAAGAGGAAAAGCTAATATAATGAAGACAACCAATAAAACTTCTTACTGGTTGTCTTTGTTTTATGTAATGCTAGACAGAATTCAAGGAGGTAAATCAGCCTGTTAACTATAAGTAAGAATTTTAGTTTACCATTCCATGTGCCATATGTTTTGTTTTCTTTTGAGTATTACCAAACTCAAACACAGCTGAAAGTTTATATAATTTTTATGAATGCTTTTTTTTTAAACATCTTTATTGGAGTATAATTGCTACAATGGTGTGTTAGTTTCTGCTTTATAACAAAGTGAATCAGCTATACATATACATATATCCCCATATCTCCTCCCTCTTGGGTTTCCCTCACTCCCACCCTCCCTACCCCACCCCTCTAGGTGGTCACAAAGCACCAAGCTGATCTTCCTGTGCTATGCGGCTGCTTCCCACTAGCTATCTGTTTTATGTTTGGTAGTGTACATATGTCCATATATGCCCACTCTCTCACTTTATCCCAGCTTAGCCTTTCCCTGCCCCGTATCCTCAAGTACACTCTCTAGTAGGTCTGTGTCTTTATTCCCATCTTGCCCCTAGGTTCTTCATGATTTTTTTTTTTGTCAATTCTATATACGTGTGTAAGCATACAGTATTTGTTTTCCTCTTTCTGACTTACTTCACTTTGTATGACAGATTCTGGGTCCATCCACCTCACTACAAATAACTCAATTTCGTTTCTTTTTATGGCTGAGTAATATTCCATTGTATATATGTGCCACATCTTCTTTATCCATTCATCTGTCGATAGACACTTAGGTTGCTTCCATGTCCTGGCTATTGTAAACAGAGCTGCAATGAACATTTTGGTATATGATGCTTTTTGAATTATGGTTTTCTCAGGGTATATGCCCAGTAGTGGGATTGCTGGGTCGTATGGTAGCTCTATTTTTAGTTTCTTAAGGAACCTCCATACTGTTCCCCATAGTTGCTGTATCAATTTACATTCCCACCAACAGTGCAACAGGGATCCCTTTTCTCCACACCCTCTCCAGCATTTATTGTTTGTAGATTTTTTGATGATGGCCGTTCTGACTAGTGTGAGATGATATCTCATTGTAGTTTTGATTTGCATTTCTCTAATGATTAATGATGTTGAGCATTCTTTCAAGTGTTTGTTGGCAATCTGTATATCTTCTCTGGAGAAATGTCTATTTAGGTCTTCTTCCCATTTTTGGATTGGGTTGTTTGTTTTTTTGACATTGAGCTGCATGAGCTGCTTGTAAATTGTGGAGATTAATCCTATGTCAGTTGCTTCATTTGCAAATATTTTCTCCCATTCTGAGGGTTGTCTTTTCATCTTGTTTATGGTTTCCTTTGCTGTGCAAAAGCTTTTAAGTTTCATTAGGTCCCATTTGTCCATTTTTGTTTTTATTTCCATTTCTCTAGGAGGTGGGTCAAAAAGGATCTTGCTGTGATTTATGTTATAGAGTGTTCTATGTTTTCCTCTAAGCGTTTGATAGTGTCTGGCCTTACATTTAGGTCTTTAATCCATTTTGAGTTGATTTTTGTGTATGGTGTTAGCGAGTGTTCTAATTTCATTCTTTTACATGTAGCTGTTCAGTTTTCCCAGCACCACTTACTGAAGGGGCTGTCTTTTCTCCACTGTATATTCTTGACTCCTTTATCAAAGATAAGGTGACCATATGTGCGTGTGTTTATCTCTGGGCTTTCTATCCTCTTCCATTGATCTATATTTCTGTCTTTGTGCCAGTACCATACTGCCTTGATTACTGTAGCTTTGTAGTATAGTCTGAGGTCAGGGAGCTTGATTCCTCCAGCTCTGTTTTTCTTTCTCAAGATTGCTTTGGCTATTTGGGGTCTTTTGTGTTTCCATACAAATTGTGAAATTTTTTGTTCTAGTTCTGTGAAAAATGCCACTGGTAGTTTGATTGCATTGAATCTGTAGATTGCTTTGGGTAGTATAGTCATTTTCACACTGTTGACTCTTCCGAACCAAGAACATGGTATATCTCTCCATCTGTTTGTATCACCTTTAATTTCTTTCATCAGTGTCTTATAGTTTTCTGCATACAGGTCTTTTGTCTCCTTAGGTAGGTTTATTCCTAGATATTTTATTCTTTTTGTTGCAATGGGAAATGGGAGTGTTTTCTTAATTTCACTGTCAGATTTTTCATCATTAGTGTATAGGAAGGCAAGAGATTTCTGTGCATTAATTTTGTATCCTGCTACTTTACCAAATTCACTGATTAGCTCTAGTAGTTTTCTGGTAGCATCTTTAGGATTATGAATGCTTTCTTAAAGGTTGACTTCTCAGTTGAGATCACTGCAGTTTCACATGCAGTTGTAAGAAATAATTGAGAGATATCCATTGTACACTGCCCAGTTTCCCTCAATGGTAACATCTTACAAAACTAGACCATCATGTACAACCAGAATACTGATTGATACAGTCATCAATCCTATTCCAGTTTCCTTAGTTTTATGCACACTCATTTGTATGGATTTCTATACAATTTATTATCTGTCTAGGTTCACTCTGTCACCACAGTCAAGACACTGAACAGTTTTAACACCATATGTTGCCCTTTTATCACCACACCCACTTCCTCCACCCAATCCCCAGCTGGTTAGTTTTATACAATGTACCTCATTTTCAGAATGTTTAAAA